AATTCCTGCTGGTTAGTGGTAGTGCATGCCTTTATACCTAGCACTTGCGAGGCAGAAGCAGGTGGATCTCTGAGTTTGAAGCCATCCTGGTCAGTAGAGTAAGTTCCGGGACAGCCAGGTATACACAGAGAAACCCTGCCTCAAAAATAAATAGATAGATAGATAGATAGATAGATAGATAGATAGATAGACAGATAGATAGATAGATAAATTTCTAGCAACATCTGTTAACAAAACCTTTATCTGAGAGGAACTCACATAAGATTTCATGGAAAGGGAAGCACTGCGAGGCTTGTAAAGGGAAGAGTCACTCAAGCACATAAGTCATTCCTATATTCGGTAAAAAAAAAAAAAATACTGCAAAAGATTTAAAAATCCATGGGGCGGGTGACATGGCTCATCAGGTAAAGGAGCTTGCCGCCAAGCCTAGTGGTTTGATCCCTAAGACCCAAACGGGGGAATGAGAAACAGACTCCAACAAATTGTCTTCTGACTGCCACATGTGTATCGTGGCTCTCTCTCTCTCTCTCTCTCTCTCTCTCTCTCACATACATACACACACAAAGATAACACATTAAATAAATATAAATAAAAATTTTAAATCTGACTCACCCTTTCTATAAGAATTTCGATTGTTGAAAAAGCAGAATTCATGAAGCCGAAGACATCGATTTGAAGTAAATACTTCAGAATCTGAAACTCTGTATCATGTTCTGTTGGTTTAGAAATAAAACATATCACCCTGTGCTCTGTCATTTCCGAATCTACTTTCTTCTTCAGCCGATGAACTGGAACAGATAACCATTTCTTACCTTGTTGAGAAACCAGCTGACTACCAAGCAAGGCACCTTCCACAGAGCCGTCAGTGTCCGCCACACCAGGCCCTTCAGGGTCCTCCCAGGATTCTGAATCTTCCTCGTTCCTTTTTGAAGATGAGCTTTTGGAATGTGTTTCCTCATGGACGCTCACAGGTAACTCTACTCCAGAGGCCGTATCTACAAATACATAGAAGGAAACATCTTTTCTAAAATCCTTGCTTCGTCGTTGGCTCCTTTTATTTTCTGGAAAGTTATTGTTTGAAACAACGTGGTCAGTACGACACGACACTGGAGAAAATGCACAAAACATTAGCTGTGGCTTGTACCAGTTCTCAAAGTGGTGTGGCAAACTGACCACAAGTTTTTGGCTTAAGTAACAGAATTTGTTCTTTTAGACTTTTTGAAGTCAAAATCTTAAAGCCGTATTTGCAAAGTTGTGTTCCTTCTGGTAAACTTGAAAAAACAACCTCTGAAGTCCTGTCTGCATGTGAGACAGCATGCCCACGGGGCTGGAGGGTAAGACAGGCCTTGAAGGGCTGGTATTCACACGGTGCGTCCTTTAGATATTGACCAAGGAAGATCAAAAATAAAAAAATAAATTAAAATAAAAGTACTGTACTCAGATCTACTCTACACACGTATGGGGGGGGGTCCTAAAAACTGTGTTCAAGCAAGCAAACATATTTTTTTAAAAAATTAAAACATGGGAAAATTTTAAAAATGAAACCAATCATGGTGGCACAAGTCTGTAATCCCAATATTTCATAAACAAACAGAGGAGAGTGACAAGTTCAAGATCAGCCTGGGTGATCTAGCAAGACCCAGGCTTTAAAAAAGGAAAACCAGAAACTAGTGAACATCAACACTTTTTCTTCTACTGTATAAGCTCATTATTAAGAATAATTAACAGGTCCCATTAAGGTTCCATCCCTTTCCAGGCAGTGGTGTCACGTGCCTTTTATCCCAGCACTCGGAACAGAGGTAGGTGGAGCTCTGTCACAGAGAAACCCTGTCTCAAAAAACCAGCCCTCACACTCACAAAAAAAAGTTTAATTCCTTGGGCTGATCAAGATGGCTCAGGGGGTAAAGGTCATTGCAGCAAAGTTTGACAACCTGAGTTCAAACTCCAGGACACACACAGTGCAAGGAGAGAACTGATCTTGTTGAGAGACGATCGCTCAGCAGCTAAGATCATTAGCCTTTTCTTCCAAAGGGCCCAGGGTTCAATTCCAGCACCCACACAGTAGCTCACAACCATCTATAACTCCTGTTTCAGGGGACCTGACACTCTTACACAGACATGCATGCAAGCCAAACGCCGGTGATCATAAATTACAAGTAAGTAAGTTTATTTAAAGAGAGAGAGAGAGAGAGAGAGAGAGAGAGAGAGAGAATTAACTCTACAATTGTTCTCTGATCATCACAGATGCACCATAACATATGCATACAAACACAGACACACATGCACATAAATAAAAATACACATTTTTAAAGTAAATAAATAATTTTTTAAAAAACATTTCATTCCTGGGGCTGGGGAGATGGCTCACTTGCTGCATTTGCAGAGGACCCAGGTTCAATTCCCAGCACCCATATAATGGCTTACAGCCATGTGAAACTCCAATTTCAGGGGATCCAATGCTGGTTTCTGGTGGTACACAAACATACCTACAGGCAAAACACTCACATAAATAAAATAATAAAATTAATTAAAGAAAAAAGATTTCTGCCAGGCATGATGATACATGTCTTTGATCCCCACACTAGGGAGGCAGAGGCAGGTGAATCTCTAAGTTTGAGGCCACCACCCTGGTTTACAGAACAAGTTCCTGGTCAGCAAAGACGACACAGAGAAACACTGTCTCAAAAAATAACAAAACTGTTTCATTCCTGTTAGAAACATGCACCCAAAAAGATATAATATGCAGACATCACTCAGTGAAACAGATTTTGCTTACTTTATCTGTTAGATAACCAGGGAGTCTGAATGGCCAAAATTATTTACAGTGTCTACAGGATGCTAATATTGGTAGCTAATTCTATCTAATAAATAGAATAGTTACAACAAGAAAAGTCATACTAGAGTTTACAGTAATGGATTTCAAGTTCCAAAACTGAGCCCACTAGATCATGTGTATGTAATAATAGTTCACCATTAAATATAAAATCCAGCCGGGCGGTGGTGACGCATGCCTTTAATCCCAGCACTAGGGAGGCAGAGGCAGGCGGATCTCTGTGAGTTCGAGACCAGCCTGGTCTACAGAGCTAGTGCCAGGACAGGCTCCAAAGCCACAGAGAAACCCTGTCTCGAAAAACCAAAAA